ACAAGTAAATTAAAAATCCTGCGAATTAAAAAAGAGGCATATAGGGATGGTATAAAAAGAAAGGGAGACAAGATAGGGATGGCATACATGAAGCATGGTTTATGAACACATTTGAGTACGCTGACACCCCGACCCCATCACATAATCCCTATGTTGTTGCCTGGTGTGCTACTCTTATAAGGAATGTCGCATTGTAATTGTAAGGGCTAAAAGCAAGCATTCTTTCACCGTGTCCCTGTTGTTTTTTATACTGCCACATTCCCTATAATTAAACTCCACTTGGACTCTATAATGGTGTTGGTTACTCAGTAGCACTCCCACCGGTCTCGATGGTATGCTTGGCTGCAGTCGTCCGCCCTGTGTCATCCGGATTTTCTGCAAATATGTCCGAGTAGTTGAGTAATAGGCCAAGCAGTTGATCGCCTTGTTTAGGGGTGATGTTTTGTTGATATGCCAATTTGGACAGCAACGAGTATTCGGAGAGGATGGGCAGGGCTTGCATCCTGACCAGGGCTGTCTACCTGGCATACCTGTTTATGGTCAACCGCCTCGATGGTGGCAATGTGGGTCCCCTTAAACAGTGTTACTACTTCGGAAACGGGGTTTATTAGCCGAACAGGAACCTCTGAGGGAGATGGGGTTACTAATGCTCGAGCCACCATAACTGGAAGGCGTTTGTTGGGGATTTGCTCTAGAGATACGTGCATGCTGAAGTGGCCCCAGTTACATGTGCAATAACTTCCAACTCACTGGCGGCAGGGATACGGAGGGTCTTTGTCACCGAAACAGCAAGTTGTCCAATGGAAGGGGATTCTTCGGAAGTGAGGGGTAGCGTGGTTGAGTCGGCTAGTGTTAAGGTACGATTCTTCAGGTCCAGTGTGCACTGGTTGAGGAAGTCCAAACCGAGTATCGCCTCTGCTGTGAGTCCCTCCGCTATCGCGAATGTGACGTCACTTTATGGGCTCCCAAACTTGACTGGGATGGTAGCACGGCCGTACACACCGTAGCGGGTATCCGTCTACGGTTACTAGCGACTGGCCAGGCCAGGGCTGCAGGTCAGGTGGATTGGTGGACGTGGTGAGATCCCAGATATCCTTCCGAAGGAGCTGACAGCTGCTCCCGTGTCTACCATAAATAATGCGGCGGTGTTCAGTGCTGTTCCTTGGACGTGGTAAGCAGTGGGTGGCCGTGCAAGAGAAAACGTTGTGCGTATTATGGCCCTTGAATCACCCCCAAACGCTCGGCCCTCAGCGTCAGGGGTTGTCAGTTTCCCTGACGGCGAGTACGGGGCTGATGTGCGGGACAGTTGCGAGCGATGTGGCCGACTTCCCCGCAGCGATAGCAGGGCCCGTTGCGTCGTTGCGGAAACGTCGATCGGTGTCTCTTCGGGGTTCCTGGGGACATTCGGCGGTGTTGTGGCCTGCTCTGTAGAGCAGGCTCGTCTCCAGTTTTTCCATTCGCTGCATCAGCTGCTGCAGCATGTCGCCGAGTCGCGGGTCCGAGTTACGACTTACTCCGGCGAACCGTAAGAATGTACATATCCGTCACCCTAAGAGACTGGTCATACTTATTTCTTTGTACATTGTTTACTGTAAACAACAACAAATAGCCCCAGGCAATACATTATAATGGATCACATGTGTCATTAGAACTCACAAATGGTAAGAGCTATGGAACGAACATTGTAGACATAATGTTATTCCAATCACCAACATCAAAATCACAACAATACAATGTTTGTAAACACAACAAATAGCCTCAGGCATCACTAAGTACGGTAGTACTTAGTATACAAGTAAATTAAAAATCCTGCGAATTAAAAAAGGAGGCATATAGGGATGGTATAAAAGAAAGGGAGACAAGATAGGGATGGCATACATGAAGCATGGTTTATGAACACATTTGAGTACGCTGACACCCGACCCATCACATAATCCGCCTATTTTGTTGCCTGGGGTGCTACTCTTATAAGGATGTCGCATTGTAATTGTAAGGGCTAAAAGCAAGCATTCTTTCAATCTTCACCGTGTCCCTGTTGTTTTTTATACTGCCACATTCCCTATAATTAAACTCCACTTGGACTCTATAATGGTGTTGGTTACTCAGTAGCATGACTTTTTTGTAGTATATTAAGTATTGTAATGGTGAATGTGTAATACTTCACCTAGGCAACAATATCGTCCTTGTCACCTGGAATGTCTGATGCTGGTACATTATTCCCACCCTCTCCGCCATGTGGATCTGCCAGCCCATCGTTTCCTCCCTTTCCCGGTGACCATGGGTTTTTACAGTATCTACAGGAACAACGTACAAGCAGTATACGAATGTATCTATGTTTATCCACGCTGTTGTTTCAGGGCGTACACCTTTTATGCCTGTTCCGCCACGGCTTTTATCATCCTACTCTTACCCACCAGTGAAATCCATAAGGTTTTTCGATTGCAGGTTCACTGTGGCATGCAGAGGATGTTCCTAATATTGGGCATTTGTCTGTTTAAACTAATGGGGGAAGTGAGGACAATCAAGAGAGCAAAGAAAGTACCCAGGCTTTCTCTCAGTATGTTCACACAAATTTTATGGTGTCATTATATACAATATGCAGGACCGTCAGGATAGCGATTCATCGGTGCTTAGTCACTCTCCTTCCCTACTCCTTCTCATGGTAAGGGCTCTTACGTGCTGCACTCCATATTGTACCTACTTGACACATTTCTTCTCCTTCATGTTTTTCGATACATTCTTGGAGATCCCAATTGTGAACACTAAAGAATTGACGGATTCCTCAGAGGAAGGTCAAGGGGAAGGAAATGTTGGCACCGAGTGCCTCTTCACTTGCGCTGAAGCTAATGAATCGTTGCAAAGCTAGAGCGCGAAAAAGCCAATATACAAATACACAACGGCTTACTACGGCATGATCGATCCGTGTGCTCTGCGTACCGGATCAACTGTTTCGCGCATGCTCTTAAATTGATTGACCACACCCTCTAATTACATCCCCACTAAGTGCATACGCTTTCTAGTCACCGGCACCGAAATACCGTTTGTAGGCATTACAAAGCGCATGCGCTTATATATCAGGGTTGCGGTAAGAGTTCGCATGCGCAGTGGTGCAACGAGCCCTTCCCACCTTTTCACTGCACGGTTATTGGACGAAAACAACGCGCTGGCGGCAAAGTTTTCCCGCTTCAAAACAACAAACAAAGCGAACGATGTCTCTGCTTCAGCTTGGGGAAGTGATCTTTGGAGGAACACCAAGAATCATTGCGTACCTGCGGCAAAATCATTTGCTTGCAACAGCAATGGCCTGTACTAGGTAAGATTTCCAAATTCAGGGTAATAAAATTAAACAAAACGATATATGTAGGTGTCCAAACGTTCAGATGGTTGAGCGACCAAGAGATGATGTCTCTGATGGCATTAGTTGGTACTGCCAAGAGTGTTACACAAGAAAAAGTATCAGAAAGGATAGCTTTTTTGATAAGTCACGGTTGACGCTGCAGAAATGGGTTCTGCTAATGTACATGTGGGTACGACAATACCCCGTGACAGACGCCTGTGAGGAAGCCGAGGTAACACAGCATACAGCCATTGACGTGTTACCAATGGCTACGAGAGGTATGCTCCCAGACGCTGAACGGCCCACCCATCATCTTAGGAGGCCAGCAATCAGTGGTGCAGATAGACGAAAGTCTCTTTCGGCACAAACCAAAAGTAAGGAAAATACCAAAATGAAAGTTTCAACACATGTTACAACCCAACAGCATCACCGTGGAAGAGCCACCACGAGAGAGGTGTGGTATTTGATTTGGTGGACACCTCCCACACACCTGCACTGGGATATATGGAGGTGGTGAGGAGGCGGGATGCTGCTACCTTGCTCCCTATCATAACAGCTCACACTGCACCAGGCAGTGTCATTCACTCAGACCAGTGGGCGGCCTATAGAGGAGTGCAGACGCTGCCCACTGTTGCTGCCCATGGCGTCGTCAACCACTCTCTGCATTTTGTGGAGCCCACGACTGGTGTTCACACCCAAAATGTGGAAAGTTATTGGGGAAGAGTGAAGACAAAGCTGAAGAGAATGAAGGGGTGCCATGCCCATCAACTTCCCAGCTACTTGGATGAGTTTATGTGGAGGGAGCGGTATGGGCAGACTGCCAGGGACACTCTTCAGAACATAATGGCGAACATTTCACAGCTCTACCCGGTTTGACTTGCATAACCACAGCAAAATAGTCTCTTTTAGTTACTCTGCTTTTACATTACACACACACGATACTGCACTCCTGAGGGATTACTGCTGCCTGCCAAGTTGAGAGCCTTTGCACTGAGAGTCCGGGGCGTTCCATACGTCCGAGAGGTTTACATGGTCCAGGTCGGATGCCGTGTCGCTGCTTCGCGATCCATCTCAACTCGAGTCTCAACCACAGCTCTGCACGTGTATGCGCATGAATATAAGCGCATGCGCTTTGTAATGCCTACAAACGGTATTTCAAAGCGTATGCGCTTAGTGGGGATGTAATTAGAAGGTGTGGTAAGTCCGCGCGCGTTCCTGCCGTTCTTTACAGTTGATCCATGGGATTAGACGTTCTCGCAGTACAGGCAAAAGCGCAGCAAAAACTTCACGTGGGTAGAAAACCGGCGTCTAATACGAACAACTCCGCTGCACGTGTTACTCAAAAACCGCTTGGGCTAACTTCACCGGACAAAGACGGGGACCACTACTGGGCCATGTGCTAGGGTCTAAAAGGTCGAATGAAGGAGCGTGTTTTCAAATTGTTTGTATGGAATAGGGCCAAACATTCCGCGTGTGGCAGGCGCGAGGCAACATATGCGCGTGCGCATTCCTAGTAAAAATGTTTATGACCGGGTGACCCAATAGTCAAAACTACATGAAATGACAGATCTGGAGGAGAAGATGGCGAAAATTAAAGATGTGTTATATTTTGCATACTGATAGATTAGCTGTTTGTTGTCTGTTTGAGAAATAAATTCCATTTATCAATGTCAGTTAAAAACTGGAACGATTTGTTGACTTGTTCGCATTTGGCAAAGAGCTGAAGCCTTTCCTGGTCATATAGATGGCAGTTAAAGAGAAAATGCAATTCATCCTTAATCTCATTGATACTGTGTGAATCAATGCTCATCTATTGGTAGGGTGGACAGCAAGCTTGAGGCACTTTTCTCGCTGGAAGAAGTAAGGGAACTCTGAAGATTGCTTGGAAGACTTTCTTTAATTTCTGAAGCAGCTTGGTAATCTTCACGTCTAACGGCACGTGACTCTTCTGTTAAGTGTGTGTTTTTTCACAACAGCGGTAAAGTTGCGTAATCTCACATAATCGTTACAGTTTGCAGCACGACAAGTAACCTGATTACATGTCATTATGCAACTTTTACCATCCCTATATATTTTTCTTTTATCCACAAAAAAACATCAAACAAAGATATAGAGACAGTGTCATGTAGTGTTGTGTCTTTGCTGTGTAATGAACTTCCACTTTCCACTCATCTAGATAGTGAACACTCTTGTGTGTAGTTGGGTATGCTGTTGGGTCTCATAATAAATGTCTCTTGAGATAACACGGCACCTACACATTAAAGCCAGCATGCAATCTTTACTCAGCTGGATAGTGATACACTAAGGTGTAGTTTGAGAGTCTTACCATTATGACACACGTCAGTAGGTAGCTACCCAATTACTATAGTTGCGTGCTACAGTACATTATTATATTGACCCTACATGTGATAACTTGCCTGTTAGCTACAGTGCACAGTCCAACTCCTTCCCTCCTCCTGAGACATGTGCAAGTGCACTTACTTTTGGTTGTAGGGGCCAAGCCCTCTTGCTGCATGTTACATTGTCGATCAGTCATTTTGACACAATTATTCTGCCCTCTTGTGCCGTCTCTGTTTGTAACTAGTTACTTTATAGCCGCTGCAGGTGAGCCTCACTCTCCTCTCTGGACTCAGCAGTTTGTGTAACCAATTTGTATATTGCAAGCTACCTTTTGCAGGTCACTTAGTTGTGCAATGCTGACTTACTCACCTAATACTTTCTGTCTCTAATGCAGACGATTAACCGTGAAATGAAGGTGAAGGGCAAAAATGGCAAGGAATATTTTTTAGTTGAGGTCATTGCCCACATCCTGAAGTATTTGAAGGACGAACTGATCAAGAAAATGAAAAGGGCTGATTGGGCTCTTAATGCTACTGATTTTGACTGGGTGATAACTGTCCCAGCAATTTGGAGAGCAAGAGGAAAACAGATGATGAGAGAAGCTGGATACAAGGTTTTAATACAATTATTATGTAGCTAACACATTACCTATAATATATTGAATCTCATGTGACGGGCATATGAAGCATAAAACCGTATTGGTAGGCCTTCACTCACATTTCTGCCGTGATTGGGCAGTTTGGTGGGCATTACTTTGCATACGTTGTATGAGTTAGAGCTGTATCAGTTGCTTTTAGCTCTGTCTTGCCAAGTCAGCCAGGCTACATGTCAACATTCAGCGGAGAATGCAGAGGTGGTTAGCAAAAATCAGTTTTACCTATTGTTTGGACACTTTCAAATGACTAGTAGTGCAAGCCTCTCCTCCCATGAGAATCTCGTTTACGAGATTAGTGGATGACGACGAGATGCAAAATACAGCCTGATAGATCCCCTAACTAGCTAAGATGTTGCACTGCAAAGCCAAATGTCAGTGGAACGAAAATGTTTGATAGCACTTGAAACCAACGGTTCATCATTTTCTGGCTACTTTGAGGAATAAATGCTGTCTTTTACAAGCCTGAGAGTAGCTCTGTATTTAATTTTTGGTCGGCCAGAAGAGATAAAACTAGTGAAGATTGTTATGTCTTATCATTGTTTAGCAGCTGTAATTACCGTCTGAAACAATCATGATGCCTTAGCCGACTTGGGGAAGGGGTCTCGTAGAGTTGTAACAATGCAGAATAATTCCCGATTTGTGCTATCACGTCACACCATGTTATTATGTAACAAAAATGGTCCACTTTAGTTTGGAGGTTGACAGGCACCTGCATTATTCTTGTCAAGAAAAACTCTAACAGAAGGCTAAGACACACTAGCAATTTCAACAGCTATGATTGGACACCTGGAGTTCTCAGAGATTGATCACAAAATTGTGCGTGTTTGCTGCTGCTGATTTTAATGGACAAAAGCTAGCTAGTATAGCCACACACTACGATGCAGAACTTATCAAAAAGGCCTGGTTCGTGCCTGCTGGACACTCTGTGTATGTTCACAGAGAAAATTGACTTTTCTTTGAGATGTGCAGGCACAATGATTATTAGAGCATCAGGAGACGCTCCATATAGGAATTGCACAAGTCAAATCTCACGTGATCCGCGTATATACAAAATGCCTCAAACCTCGGCGAGAATGACACATTATGCCTTCCAAAATCACTAGCCCTAGTCTATAGGCCAAAATCTATGCCCAAAGTCTTATATACTTAGTTCTCCACACGAGAATTCCCTCATACGCGAATTCCCATTTACTCCTCCACACGAGAATTCGCTCGTATGCGAATTGCCCTTTAGTTCTCCACACGAGAACTTGCTCATACGCGAGTTTACGATTTTCGTCATCATCATCGTCTTCAATGGTGGCCCAAAAGTAGTATGCTATGCAGCATTGCGGGCAGCGGGTTGACTCGCGCATTGCCCAGGTGGCGCGTTGATGGGGGCCGTGTTCAGGCAGCGTAACATGTGTTTTTTGCTGTTAGTAGTTAATGCTTTGTGTGTGGTGTGTGTATTATGCTTGGAAATACCATTTCTTCAAAACGAAGGGGAATATAGGGATGGCTCAAAACATGAAAAAGGAAAGAACAAGGAGTCCACAGAGCTAAGACACCCAAGCTAATTGATTAATAGTATGCTGCAGCAGTTTTCAGCCACCATTTTTTGGTGCTGTGCATGTGATGCCTTGCTCTTTTTGCGTGTATTCCATAGCAAAGCTCCTGGCTGGAATTCTAAGATCCAGTCACTCAACGTTCACTTTTAGAAAGAAGAAACTTCAGCACCGCATTACGAAAAACGAAATAGCTACATCGAGTGTGCTAAGTGATGGTTGGTAATGCCAAGCCACCATGTCTCACACATGAGTGCAGAGAGCTGGAATCCAAATCCGGGTCTGAACACATTCTCGAAGCAGCACATCTGTGGTGTGCCTGTGTCCTCAGGGAAGCAGTGAAGCACATCCTCATCAAAGACTAAGCATAACATTTTTGCTATATAGCTGAAATTTCACCACCAACGTATGCCTAGGTAATTGGTTGGAGAAAGCTCTAGGAACATATTCTTCACATTTGCATCCACATTCTAAAAGCTTAATAAGAGTGGTCATAGCATATCAAGTATTTGACCCACAGGGTCCAGTAGAGCAACATAAAAAGTAAAGCTCCCTGGAGCATTCAACCGACTCAATGAAGTTCATTCCATAGCCATGTAATTTTGCTTTTCACATACTGTTTTCCGTTTCATTTTTGTTGCATGCCAATAATTATGTTGAAGACATTTGCTCTGACACTTACTCTTCAGCTGAGGCTGGATTTGCACTTTGTGAACCCCCAAAGTTGTATTTGTGCAGATGTGTGTGTCTGTTACCACTAACCTGTCTAGGGTGACAAAACGAATGGTACAAGTGGAAAAATCTTTTCTTCAAATTGAAGGGGATATGGAGATGGCTCACATCATGAAAAAGAAAGAAACAAGGGGTCATTTCACAGCTAAGACACACAAAGTTACATGTCACTATCCCTATTATTTGCATAGGACAAAGATACAGGGATGGTGTGGTGTGATGTAGCTTTGCGTGTCTTAACTGTGAAATTACCCCTTGTTTTTCATGATTTGAGCCATCCCTATATCCACATAACTGCTTACTGCTGAGTAAGCAGCAAATGGTGCTGTTCATTGTCACATAAGATGGCTATAGCGACGTGCGACAACTAAGAAATGATCGGTTGGTGGCCGTGCACACCTCTGACGAATCTGGAGACGTTCGGTAACAAAATTAGCACTTCAACTTGTTCCAGTAAGGAGAAAGAGGGTCTGAAGAAGAAAATTGTGAAATTGTGTGTGAGCGAATTCTTGCGTGGAGAACTGAGGGCACGTATGAGTGTGTTGAGTGCATGTATAGCTAGATATGGGCCTGTGGGCAATTGCTAGTGTTTTGAAGGCCAAGCAAGTCATTCTCACTGGCTTTATTTACGTGGATCACGTGCGATTTGACCCGTTCCGGATCCATCCCTATAATATGGAGTGTCTACTGACGCTCTAATACTAATGGAACTTTAAATTTATGACTCAAAAAACGAGTCAAAAAGCCGATGTGGTACCCAGCCATGGCTTCAGCTGGATGGGTGTTTGCCTAAATTTTTATGCTATATCATAGCTATAAGTTTCTCCACATGATGTGTAGTCGACCTCCATCAGTGCACACTGTCATTAGGATGTATCACTTTGACCGATCCACTTACATGTGTTGGGGAAGAAATTCACATCAGCCCATAATAATTATTACCTTGGAAGAAAGAATATTTTAGGGGAAGTCGAAATGGCTTATACACAGAAACTCTTTCCTAATATTCTTATGAGTAATGTGGAGCATTGGGTATTGCTTTTGATGATACTAATTGGAAAGTGCAAGTGGATATGAAAGTTCTGACCTTTAGCAGATGCTGAGGAGAATGTACTTGATAACAAAAACTTGGAAGAGATTGCAATTGCATTGTGTGATAAGACTGGTGGTATAATTAATGGACTAGTTGGGGAGCTTCCCCAATAATTATTACGGTGGGTCTGGGAAGATAGAGCTGCTTCAGCAGGTTTACAGTAGATTGGATTGAGGAGTTCGTGCCACAGCAGTCGAGAGAGGGCCTCACAATTAGCTAATCTGTTTAAAAAGAAGGAAGACACGGAGGATGCATAACTCTTCTGAGTTTGGTTGGGAAGTGTTTCGTAAGGTTTTGCATCTCGACAAGGGCCAAGCATTGCATATGTATTTTAATTGTAGCCCTTTTGAAGTCCTGTTTTCTTTCTCTTTTTCTTTCTTTCTTTTTATGTGTATAGCGTGAGCTGTTCAGTTTTCATGAGGATCAGGCACGGTTTTAGGGTTAAGTTGATACATTGCACTCTTGCATTCTTTTTGATGTGCTGTTCGGTTGTAGAATTTGGGGTAAGAAGGAGAATGTGGAGGGTCATTACATTAAATTATGAGTATTCAAAGTGTGTGATATTGTTGGATGGGGAACAGTCAAAGGCATTTGATATATAACAGGGCATTATAGCTTGTCACCAATTCTGCTTTTCTTGAGGAATGTAGAGGTGTTGGTAAGTCATGCAGTGATGGTGTCTGCTAGGGAGTCAGTTATAGATAGTACTAAGAAAATGGGGAGCATAAGTATATACACATATTTGGGTCTTGACTATACTTGTAGTATCAAGAAAGTGCTAGAAGACAATGGAAGAATGAAGGGTTAAGGAATATTAATTATTGAGTGCTTTCAGGTTGTTGTTGCTGCCATTAATTTTATTAGGCCTAGATGGGAGTTAGACTTCGGCATTTTAATCAAGAATAAAATTTTAAGCCATGAGGAGGTTGACAGAGGAAGTGGTAGAGTATGGTAATTGGTGATATCTTTTCATCATTAGGTCTGGATAAGGAAGAGTGGTTGGAGGATATTCTAGATCGTGCCTTGAAGGGCTTTTGTCTATAATTATAGTCGGGGACAGTATTGATGAGAGGGAGAGTAGAACGTTTGAAGAGTAGGAAGGCTTAAAGAGAGGAAAGAGATGAAGGAATGTCTGCTGTATGATGATGAGTGTTAGGGTGTGGTGTTTGAGCATCACAGCAGCCTTCGGAACAATTTGAGTTGCAGGGGAAGCTTGGGGGTGGGTTTGAGCATTTCCAGGGAAGCGAGCTATGGGAAGACCAACTTTTTTCTCTGCTTAATCTCATTAAGGCGTATGTGTTAGATTGTGGGAGCTAAGAAAGGTTATGTTATAATTATAGTGATATCCCAGTGTTCAGCACTCTCAGTCTTAGATTGCGTCTGCAGGGGTATTGCTGGTGGAAGGGTTGAGTTTGGGTGTCAGGGATGACATAGAGACAAGTTTATAGTGGGTGCATGGTCGACAGCTAAACCGCAGGAAAATCACTCCATTATATAGGTATGTTGTGTTAAGCATGGTGCTAAAGCCACTACATCTGCATGTGGCCGGGTATAGAGACCCAAAAAACAAATTGGCATCTAACTCAGTTATAAGTCAGGAGACATACAAGTGTATTAACAACTCTTATGCTCGCTGTGCTTAAGAGAGTGAAAGATGCACATACCATGCTTGAAGTGTGCTGTTTCACATCAAGATGTAGGGAAACTCTGACTGCTGCCTATCTAATGGTGGGGCTGGCTTTGTTGTTATCTCCCTTGAAATAGTGAATGACATAGGTATGGATTTTGCTCGAAAGTATTCCAATTTCATTGATTTATTATAATTTGTACACAGGCGGGTTTGTGCTCCAGGGAGTGCTGTCCAGCATTAGAGGCAGCAGTCGGGCGTGTTCCTGAACATGTTTTGGAAGATCACCCTGATAAACTGTCCTTAGCTCTTGAACCTGAATCTGCAGCTATTTTCTGTCAGAATATGATGGAAAGGCAGGCTTCTTCCTTTTGTAGTCCAGAATCCCCTTATAGGGTGGCTAGTTATCTTATTGTTGACATTGGAGGTGGTACAGTGGATATTTCCGCTCACCATGTTGTCAGAGACCCTGAACCACACATTAAGGTAATCCATCCGCCAACAGGCAATGATTGTGGTGGGACTAAGGTCAACCAGGAATTCGCAAAATTCCTTCAAAGTTTAGTAAAGGATGATGGGTTCTCCCGCTTTTTGTGTACTGCGGATGAACAAAAAAATGCTAAGAATAGAGTTTATTTAAATGAACTCTTTAATGAAAATTTTGAGAAGCAGAAAATGGTTTTTTCAGATGCACATGAAGAATGCAGTTCCAATATGCTGTTGATTGAATTACCCACACCATTCATTCAAGAATATATTGATGACCTTAATGAGGGGGTACGTAAGGAAGGAGAGGCTGTATTACAGCTAGTGGGCCAAGATTTACGAGTATCTTACGAACTAATGCGGACATTCTTCAAGCCAGTTGTGGATGGAATTATTACTTGTATTAATGATGTTCTGGCTGAAGTTTCCCAGGTTAAAAAAATTTACCTTGTTGGTGGGTTTGGAGGGTCAAAGTATTTACAAAGCAAACTCCAAATGGCCTTTAATAATTTAGGTCTTAACTACGTTGTTCCAGTTGAACCAGCATATGCAGTAGTGAAAGGTGCTGTGCTTTTTAAGAAAAACCCAGGCCTTGTTGAAAGTCGCAGAGCAGATGCAACCTATGGCCTCAGTACAAATGCCAGATTTCAAGAAGGATTACATGATCGCAAGTTTCGGTGGGTAGATGATGATGGTTGCTCTCTCTGCCGAAATTTATTTTCAACTATAGTTGAGCTCGGAGATATTGTTGGAGTTGAAGAAGTATTCATGAGCACATTTTACCCCACTTATCATAACCAAACTGGGATGTCATTCACAATATACAGTTCTCAAGGGAGAGACATTTTTTATGTGACTGGAGAAAGGGGTGTGAACTCTAAAACACGTGGGTGTGCTACAGTAACCAAACTAGGTGAAGTTGAGATTGAAATGCCTGATCTTACTGGGGATAAAAATCGAGCTGTTGATGTGACTTTTGACTTCAGCCACACGGAAATTAAAGTGAAAGCATATGATCGAACCACCAAGAAAGAAGTGAAAACTGTTATAAACTTTCTTACTAACACGTAAAGGTTACACATATTGGAAGTTGTTTTTAAACATAAAATTTTTTTCGTAGCTCATGTTCAGCAACACTGACCATAGCACTCAACCGTTGTTTGTAGTTGCCAAATATACACACTATGATCTCCTGTTCTATGCACACACTAATACTATCGCTATCGTTTACAGAGCTATATACTGTGGTGAACACTAGCGCAAGAACAAGCCATGAATTGGGCATCGTATTCACACATTGACTCTTACTGCTCTAAGACCAAGAACATAAACAGACATAGCTGCGAGGTGATAACTATTACAGCTAGCTATAAATTAGGCAGGCTGGTTGCGGGATGAGCAGCTACCGCATTCACAGAGCGGAGAATTGAGAAATAGAGGCGACATTGAAGCTATCCAATGACTGTAGGTCCTGTCCAGTGGCTGTGGATGGGGTATTCATGAGGATCCAGCTATAATGCACCTCAATGCACCATGGAAATGTCTTGTGTAAGATAAAGCTTTCGCGGGGAGAGCAGGGGTGCACCTTTCCCCATTCAGCAACTTTCCAAGGGCATTTTTGTCTGCGAATCTGAATCCAGTTGAGGAATAACTTGTCTAGCTTTTAGGGTTTTGCAGGTATCTATGATGACTCTTCCACTCCAGCAAACTTACACAGTAGATTGCTATTCAACCCTTCTGAACTTGCAATTACTACAGTCAGAAAGCTTACCAAAGATCTCGCCCCAATTGTATAATGATCTGTCTTATTAAAAAAAATTTATTCCAACAGTTCATTTAACCTCTCCACCTTCAGCATAATATTATTCTTCAGCAGCTAACTTATCAACTTCAGCAGCTCCATAGTCCCTACTACTTTCCTTATCTTACTGGCCTAACCACTACAAGCAACAGAACATCACACAAACCTTCCTTGTACCAATATGTAATAGTCAATCACCAACATTGGATGATCCCACTTGCACACTTAGCTAAAGCTCATTTACTGACATTAACCTTTAGCCTCAACTACTTACAGAAAGAATGTGCCACATATCAGTGTCTTAATTTGATGATCCTTTTCTTCATTCAGTTCTTAGATGTCATTCAATTAGTACATGCATGCAGCCGACCCCAGCTCTTGATTAATGTTCAAGTTTAGATCAGGCAGGAACAGATGGGTTTTAATAATAAGGAGTAGCTAAGGTAGACACAGAGGAAATGAGGAGAGATATAAAGGAGTTTGTTTTATGTGAAGATGAGTGTGAAAGTGTCAGTCATGTATTGTGGGAATTGTGTGTCATCTTGTGGTTCAGCTGTGGGATCTTCTTACGGAGAATTTCAAATTTATAGTCTCTTGATGGTCTGAGAACTGCATCATTCATGTTAGGTATAGCATTGTGGGAGGAAACAGTTTCTGTGCTATGGCTGCTATTTGAATAATAGCCAGATCTGCTAATAGCCTGGGACTACATTGCATACGACTTGGAACGGTAATATATAGGACTTTGGAAAGATATCCAGCCCTATCATGTAACTGACACTGTGGTAGCTACTACACCCATACTCCATGCTGGAGCATTAGGTTATAATTAGGCAGTACAAGATTGATAGCATCCAATACTTACTGTATGATGTATATATTATATTCAACCAGAAGAGCAATGATGCTAGGCTTTCCAGTTCAGGTTATACATACGTGTATCACGTGAAATTTGACTTTTGATGTAATTGCCATTTGAATCCCTGTATACGGCTTTATTAACTATGTGTGGGCCAATTCTTGATTCTTGTAATTGTGCTTAATATTCAGGCTGGTCTGTGTTCTAATGTGAGTTGTGGCAAGTTGAAAGAAGTTTCAGAAAGACAATTTATTCATATGCCGGAAGAAGAAAATCCTGATAAACTAAGTCTGGTTTTAGAGCCAGAAGCAGCTGCATTTTATTGCCAGAATATTTCGGCTATACAACGTGCTTCACACTGTAATGTAAAAGGATCATTTAAATCTGACAGCTATGTTGTCATTGATGTCGGTGGTGGTACGGTTGATATTGTTGCCTATCAAGTATGCAAATTTCCTGAGCCTCATATGGAGGTACTTCATGAACCAACAGGGGGGGCGTGGGGTGGGAGAAGAGTTAATCTTGAATTCAAAAATTTTCTTCAGAATCTTGCAGGAGATATAGGATTTACACAGTACATTAACATGGCTTCTGAAAAGAGGTGCGCCAAGCATTGTGCTGAATTGGATGAAATTGTGGAAGAGAATTTTGAAGCACAAAAAACAATATTTGGTGATAATGACCTTAATAGAGATGCTAAAATTACTGTTCATCTTAATTTTTCCTTTTTAAAAACTTATGAAAGTGAACTTGAAAAAAAGATACAGGACATGCATATTCAAAAAATAGAGCATGCCACTATTGATGATAGCGACCTTCGCATCACATATGAAAAAGTTCAACTATTTTTTGATCCTATTGTTGATGGAATTATTGAGTGTGTAGCAAAAGTTTTCAGTGATGTGCCCGATGCATACACAGTTTATTTGGTTGGTGGATTTGGAGGGTGCCAATACATTTATAACAAGCTTTGTGCTAGATTTGGAGAAAAGTACAAGTTTATTACACCTGAAGGTCGAAATCATGCAGTTGTAAAGGGAGCAGCAATGATGAAGAAAACCCCACAATTTTTAAACGCACGACGAGTTGATGCAACTTATGGAATAGAAACTAGCATTCCATTTGAAAATGGAAAACATGATGAGCTGTATCGTGTACCCGCCACAGTGGAAGGAGAGCCAGATATGTGCTCTAACATATTTACAACATTTGTAGAGAAAGGTGATGTTGTTTCCGCACAAGATGTGTACATGATGAGCTTTACCCCAGAGAGAAAGGACCAACGATACATGAAAGTCATGATATACACTTCATTAGAGAAAGATGTATGGTACACAACTGGGAAAAGGCCGTCAAGTGGAGAAAGCAATGGAACTTATGAAGACGTCAATATGATTGGAGAACTCTTTGTGCCTTTTCGTGCTGTGGAGAGTGATGAGAGTGCTGAAGACCAAATTGTTGATGTTATGTTTGACTTTAGTGGTGCTGAAATCAAAGTGACTGGGTTTCATCGTAAGTCAGCAACTGAAGTGAGAGTTGTTCTTAACTTTCTAGATTGAGTGCATTCATTATCATTAACTTTACCAATGTATAAATATGTGCAATATAGGGCTTTAGCAAGAACCACAAACGACTAGTGTGTGTGTGTCTTGCTCACACAGCAGCAAAGCATAGAAGCTGTGACGAAGCACCATAAAGTATTGGGTCTAATCATGCACACCACGTGGTTCAACTCGAAGGGACAAGTCATAAATGCATATTTTAACCACTGAAATGTAATTTTTTAAATGTAGCTGTCTCAGTTCAGCTCAGAATGCAGTAAACAATCTGACGGCAGTGCTCCCATTCCCCTTTCTCTCGTTAATCTCCTCTTCAACACTTGTTAAGAGAGTTTGAAGTAGCTAACTCATGTAGATTCTTAGTGCGGGAATTGGGTCCGTTATACATGGTTCTAGCTGAAACTTCCTTGCAATTAGCGACGAATATCATTGTATAACTTGGCGTTGAGGCCAAATGAAGTACAACATAACGGCTGTTACTGTGTGCTGCTTTTGAAGTCCTGTACACAATAGTGCCACAGTACATGAAGAGCAGCAAGCAGGTTAAACCAAAAAATTAAAGCCTTCGTAGAAAATAAGCTGCACTTGTGTACCTTTGAGTCAAGTTGTTGTTTGTTCCAGCCAGTCTGCCACAGCCAAACTTCTGGGGAAATATACTTCATGGTGTGCACAGCTTCTCTCTAGCCTACCTGTCTGAAAGCTATAGCTCCTGCGCTGAAGTTACACGAGTTTAATAATGTCTTCCCCAAGCAACAACCCCCCGTTGAGAAACGCTTTAGTCCACTGTGCATGGTAAAGACTTCAAAAGTGAACCTGCCCTAACACTTTTCGCGTCAAACTGGTTTTACTGGCCGGGAACAAACCAGTGATATCAGGATAGTTGCAGGTGGCATGCAGCCCTCATGCAGGAATACAATTAGTTAACCCTCAGCGTGCATGCACCAGAGGGTTACGGTACTTGGTTCGTGAACTGTCTGTTTGTCCACTCTGCTTAATGGAGCTATGCCTCAGTTCACCCTGGCCTGTATTTCCACTGGTGGACCTGCTACCACTGTTACTTGGACCAGAGACTCCACCACTGTCACCCAAGGAAATGAGACACCGTGTTGAATGACCCAGTGACTGCACAGTACACCCACACTCTGACTGTTACTACTGCAGGAGAGTACACCTGCACTGTGTCCCATCCAACTAGTATCACTGTGACAGGTATACTAAAGTTTGAGTACGTAGTGTATGTTTATGCTCTTATATATAATAATAGATATCCAATCTTGTTTATACTAGAGGAGGAACCTTTTCAGGGTAAAACAACTTTAGTAAATTTTTACCCACCGTAAAGAACGCTCCTCACCCTCAAATGTAAACTTTGATGGTTTGTTGTTGAACCAAGAAGTTTAAAGAGCTCTCTTGATAATTATAATTATCACAGTATTAATCATTGAGTGGGTTGTCCAAGGCATCATGTAACCCAGCCTCGTGATTCTCATTGTACAATACATCTGATGCCTGAAAGGTGCACACAAGAGGAGCGCAATCTGATATGAGTAATTATAAGCCATGTTCATTAGCAATTGGTTTGTTCGCTAGTTGCATTTCACACCATAAGTTTTGCACCACACCCACACAAAAACACTTTTCTGCAGTCTTATTTTGTGCTGTGGCAGAGGGTGGTAGCTAACAGGCTTGCAGGGACAGTGTGTTTCCTTAGAAGGTAGCTATATGTGACCCGCTACGGGAAAAGTGCCCATTTGACCCAAACTAATTTTTCCGAGTAAACGGCCAAAACACGCGGAAAATGCACCCTTTTTTTTTTTTTTTTTTTTTTAAACAAAAAAAACGTTTACTAGAAAGAAAAAAAAGAAAAAAAGAAAAAACAAACAAACCAAAAAAAAACCAAAAAAAACAAAACAAAACAAAAACACTACATATCAGAGGGAACATGTCCCTCTGCAGCGGCAAGTTCAATGTTGAGCTCACTGACTGGGCGGTGGCGAGAGGATCTACTTCCTCAAAATGCAGAGGATAGCAGATCGGAGTATAGCGAATGATAGGCGGCAGCGAATCCAACCCATGACTAGAGAGTATTGCTTGTCCTGCTTCCGGGACAACTCATCAGCCAGTCTTTTGTACAACGTCGTGGCTTCACGTGCCATACCACCAGTAGTTGAGAGGACAAGTGGTGTAAAAACCCCATGTTCAACTTCTCGAACTCTTTGGGCATATTCTCTCTTCTTTGCTGTTTCGTGTTTGCGATATGCTGCTGCAGTGGTCATCGAACGGTTGCTTGACGCGTTGGGGTGGAAAACCCTAAGATCAAAAATGCGTCTTGGCCAGTGTTCCAAAAACCACGAGCACGGATATCTAGGCGAGCGTTGGCATCAGTGTTCGCTGTGCGGTGAGGGAAAGATTCGTTGGTAAGTGGTTGTAGGAGTGGCTCGGTTGCAACATTATGGCAGATTTCTGTGAGTAGGTTGGCCGTCATGTCACGAATCTCATTGTGGCGGATTGTTGGTATGCCGCCCATATGACAGATCATGGCATGATCTATTGAGAACGGTGTGCCACAATTGCAAGAGTGAGGTATGTTGCTCAGATTCCACCCGTATCTGAGACATACAGCATCACGAAATCCCCCCCTTGTGCAGGAGGAATCCATGCTCCGCCATTGGTAAGACAGTGAGCCAAGCTGAAGAGCCCTTTTCCTGTGCCAATTCCACTGACCGTTGGAGCTGTGGTGTCAACTGTGCAGTTGTGTCTCTTGCTCGTTTTTGTTGCAGCTCTCTGTTTGTCTTCTTCACTTGTTTCTTTATGTTTAGTTGGTCGGCTTTCTCTACAGTCTGGTGGAGATCCTGTGATGCAATCAGAGCTACAAGTGGAGCTGTAATGCGTAGAGATGCTTGAAAAGCATGAGAAGAATTGGACGTGGGATTAGCCAGTCCCATTCCGCCCAGTTTGGTGGGAAGTGCTAGGAGGTCTCGTTCCAAAGCAGAGCAAGCTTCTCGGCCAGTGACTGCTGGATGAAATGCTGGTGAATAGCTGTCTCAAGGGGCTGGAGCAAGTCTTGTATCTCAGGAATGGTCCTTGAGATGTACGTCCAGTGACTGGAGAGGCCATGCGTGAAAGCAGCGTAGGCCGCATGAGGTTGGGTGAGGGCAATTGTTGACAGACTCTTGATCTCATTAACCCATTCACCTACTTTCCTGGAGACATACTCTTCAGTGAAGGACTTTGCACCAATTGCGGCCCCTAAATGGCGCTTGCCATTGATGGTGATGTGAACATCAGTGTCGGCAAAGAGTTGTTTTGCTTTGCTTTCATGTTCCTCTTTTACAATGAGGTAAGTTTTTGAGCTGTTTGGGATGGTAGCCATAGGCAGGGCCCAAGACGCACAATCTCATCCCAACCAATGTCTCAGCTTCTCACAAGAGCCTGCACCTGTTGCGTCATCGGCATACCATGCTTGCTTTACGTCTGGGGAGTTGTTGCTCAGAAGGTGGATCAGTGGCACTGTAGCGAGAGCTACATGGCCATTGCCAGGGGATCGCCTTGAGTGGTACCTTCCATAGATGATATTTCACCGCTACCCGGCAACAATCATTCTCACTGGGGCTCTGTAGGTGTTGATCAGGACAGGTGACAATGGTGGGCATAGGACACTGACATTATGTAATGCAGCTCTACGATTCAAAGAGTTGAAGGCATTAGAGGCATCAACCAGCAGGCAACCTTCAGTGTCAGCATCCTGGATATTGCCCGCATAGCATGAACTGCAGCCTCACAACCACCATCCTGACCAGCACATACTTGCAGAGGTCCTGCAGCTTCCTCAACATCCTTTCCGATGGTTCGTAGAATGGCCTTCGCAATTATGCGTCTCGGTACTTCCCCTACTCCGATTGGTCTCACTCCAGGACACTTGTCAAGAGGAATGAGACGGCAAGCAACAAGAGCACTGATGCTCTCTGGGTTTACCAATGAGGAGCAAAGACGACGACCAACTGCAGCTAAAGCAGAGCATAAGTCATGAGACGCAGAGCCAAAAGAGCAACACAATCTCCTCCAAGCAAACGAATCAAGACCGGACGGACCAGCTGAACCCTGGGTGTGCATGGCTGCATTGCGAATTGTATCCGCGTTTAGGTTTTCAAAGAGGATTAGATTGAGGATGTTGGTTTCTGAGGAGCTAGTGAGAAGAGATGATGGATCGGGAGGTTTTCCGGTTGGGTGTTTGTCTTGGAGAACATCTCGGGTGGACCGCAGAACCGGTTCTGAGCCTGAAGAGGCAGATGGTATCATGTCATCAAGATTTAGAGCACCTCCAGTTGAATTTCGGGACAGATAACGTAGTGCATTCTTTACTTTCCCCTGCTCCATCATTTTACCAAAGTTACGTGCAATGGCGTTGTCATCAGACGGTCTTGGACGATTATGTAGATAACGTTGAATGCACCTACCCTCTTGAATGAGTAAAGGTATATCACCTTGTTTCCATAACTCCAACCGTCTCTTCAGGTGAGAAATGTGGTCTTTGCTCTTGCTTTTTTTGCTTGGTTTTTGTAGGAGTAGGATTTGCATCACAAAGCTTGCCTTAAGAGCAATAGACTCCAGTTGTGAGCCATTCGCAAAAGCTTGTAACAAACGAGTGATTTCTTGGATGAATGATTTTCCAGCCGCACCAGATGGAAGAAGGAAGAGATTACGCTTCCAATGAATGATATCATTGTAAGCTGTGTCTATCATCTTGCAAAAGGTCTGTCCATCAAGCTGTCCCCATTGAAAATCTGGTTGTGAACACGTTGGTAGTGGCCATGGATCGGTGTAATTGCCACTATCACCAGCAGGTTGTTGATGCGATGAGGTAAGGTCAATGGTAGGTGTTTGGTTGTCACGGAAAGGCAACACAGGTTCCATGTTTGAAATTTGGTTGTCAAGGAGAAGCGCATTTTCCATGTTTTCGACGTATATCTCTTGTCCAGTAGTCAGAGTTAATGTCTGTTGGCTATTCGATCTCTCTAGCTGGTCGCTCACGACATCGGGTCTGCCCGCACTGTCAACAAGGTCTTCGTCAGTACGTGCCGCTTTACCATAATTCTCGCATCTTCAAATATGACTCGGCGTACAGTTAGTACAGAC